CTCCCTTCCTCTCTGAAATCAATAAAAATATATTTAAAAATTAAAAAAATAATTAAAAAAATAAACTGCAACCCTGCCTCTGCCCATGGCTTCCAATCTCTTTATTCTGTTATTAGCAATTATCAGCTAATACGCTAAGTGTCCAACTGTTCGTTTGTCCACTCGCTATGACGCGCACTTACCACCAGGGGGCAAATGCTAGCTTGCTGGTGGGGTCCGGCCTATCAGGACTGGACGAGATGGGCCAGACACGCCCTCGACAAATCCATGCACCAGGCCAGTTTCGGCTTGATCCTCCCTCACAGGCTAAGCTGAGGGACCCCACTGGTGTACGAATCCGTGCACGGAGCCTCTAGTTTATTATATTTATCTGCCTTCTACCTTACCCTTCTATTAGAATGTAGGCACTTTTAGGGCAGGTGTGTTTTGTCTTGTTTTTTAAAATATTTTTATTGGTTTCAGAGGGTAAGGTAGAGAGAGAGAGAGAGAAACATCAATGATGAGAACCCAGTAGGGGGCGTGGGTGAGGCAGCCACACAATGATTCTCTCATTGATGTTTCTCTCTCTCTCTCCCTCTCCTTTCCTTTCTGCAATCAAAATAAAATATATATTTTTTAAAAAAGAGTTATCTCTACCAGCACAATATTGACCATCTTATTTAAACTGCAACCCAGCCCTAGGCAGTTTGGCTCAGTGGATAGAGCATTGGCCTGCGGACTAAAGGGTCCCAGGTTCGATTCCGGTCAAGGGCACATGCCCGAGTTGCGGGCTCAATCCCCAGTGGGGGGCATGCAGGAGGCAGCCGATCAATGATTCTCTCATTGATGTTTCTATCTCTCCCTTCCTCTCTGAAATCAAAATATATTAAAAAATAATTTTGTTAAAACACCACAAGTTCGGAAATAGTGGAAAATACATTTGTTGACTGAGTGAATAAAATGCACAAAGTGCCTGAGAGGGTCCAGGGAGGCAGTGCTCACTGATCTGGGCCCTAAAGGACAGGATGAACCACTCGCTATGACGCGCACTTACCACCAGGGGGCAAATGCTAGCTTGCTGGTGGGGTCCGGCCTATCAGGACTGGACGAGATGGGCCAGACACGCCCTCGACAAATCCATGCACCAGGCCAGTTTCGGCTTGATCCTCCCTCACAGGCTAAGCTGAGGGACCCCACTGGTGTACGAATCCGTGCACGGAGCCTCTAGTTTATTATATTTATCTGCCTTCTACCTTACCCTTCTATTAGAATGTAGGCACTTTTAGGGCAGGTGTGTTTTGTCTTGTTTTTTAAAATATTTTTATTGGTTTCAGAGGGGAAGGTAGAGAGAGAGAGAGAGAAACATCAATGATGAGAATCACTGATTGGCTGCTTCCTGCATGTCCCCTACTGAAGACTGAGCCTACAACCCGGGCATGTGCCCTTGACTGGAATTGAACCCGGTGGATCCTTTAGTCTGCAGGCCAACACTCTATCCACTGTGCCAAACCCGCCAGGGTGGTAACCTCCTGGTTTGAACCATGACCTCCTGGTTCATAGGTATACACTCAACCACTGAGCAACACTGGCTGGGAGGTAACCACTTCTTCATTCATAATTTTGTACCCCAAATTCTACACTCCTTCAAAAGCAATTCCAATGAATTAAGCAGTTAACAAGCTATGCTGCTAGATGTCAAGGCTTTAATCTGTGTATTGTGGGCAGTTGTTAGTATTCCCTTAAACCATGCTGCTTTTCCAGGGAAAAGTACTTAAAAAAATGCTTACCAAAGGCACACAATGGCCAACATAACTTTCTGAACAGTTTAGAAAATTTCGTAAGGTTCAAAAACAGGCAATTTCAAATTAGGTAATTCTGCTATTAAAGAGAAGTAGCAGCCAGGCTGGTGTGGCTTAATGGTTGAGCATCGACCTATGAACGAGGAGGTCACAGTTCGATTCAGATTAGGGCACATGCCCAGGTTTCAGGGTTGTTCCCCAGCAGAGGGAGTGAAGGAGGCAACTGATCAATAATTTTCTCTCATTATTGGTGTTTTTATCCTTCTCCCTCTCTTCCTCTCTAAATAAAAACGTATTTTTAAGAGAAGACTTTCCCATTAAAATGTGAATGTATCATAAGTAATATTCAAAAGTTAAACTGACAGTAAACACTGCAAGCCTTGCATGACATTTTCTAATAATATAAAAATTATGGCAGATTCACCTGTTCAAAGTGAATGCCTTCAATCAGCTCACAATTACTTTAAGAATCATCATAGCAAAATTAAAGTACACTGGATTATAAAAGCAGATTTCAGAAAAGAACTCTGGAAAGTAACAGTCTTTGCCTGTTTCTATGCAAAGATTGGGATCTCCAACAACGAAGTTCTACTCATCCTAATGACAATTATGGCTTGAAGAATGCTACAAAAGATATGAAAAGCGCTATAAATATGAAAAACTCAAAAGTGATTTAGGAAGAATTAACCAAATCTTTCATTTCATTTATTGCAACTATACAAAAGATAATCCAACAATCCTTCCCACTGTTTTTAGTTTTTGCTTTTTGATTTAGGAAATACACTACTTATTACAGAACCTTCTCCAAATGAAGGAAAACCTGCCAAAAAAATTAAAAAAATAAATCTAAGCACTCTATTAGGATATGTATGCAAGGTTAACAAGCTTTAGTTAAGTATTTGAAAACTAGCCTTAAGGTCAAATTAAAATCATTTAAAGCTAACCCAACACCGAAAGTTTGAATCCAAGCACAAAATGCTGTAAAATTTCCCAATGACAGTGTGAAAAAGCACCTTCACAACTGATCTTTAAATATGCATCATCCTCCACCAGAATTCATCACCTGACTGGATTCGACGTTTGAAACCGATTTTGAAAAGTTTATCGTTTTTTAAACACTTGTACAGTATTTCTGGCACCTTTAAAGAGATGATATCTCTTAATAACATGGCTGTTACACTTTACTTACAATTCCTATCTCGTTTTTCAGTCTACCTACCTACGAGTAATATTACTCAGAAACCTACAGTTTTACCCTGAGAAAATAAGGATTTAGTAAATGGTGCTTTCTAACCGAAAACACTCGGAAGTCATCGGCAGGGCCGGGAACGCAGGGAAGGCGGCAAGACTTAGCAGGAAAGGTGGTCGTCACCCGCCCAAGAGGAGGGCCCGGGTCGGGGACGCAGAGAACAGATACTCTGGCAGCAGGTGGGAGCCTCCAAGAGGACGGTCGCCGCAGGTTTCAGATCTGACAGGTACGCCGCCCGCAGGACAGCGGAAGGCGCGCCGGGTCCGCCGGCCTTACCTCTGGGGTCCGCTCCGGCGGCTTCTTCTTCAGAGCTTGCCTAGCGCCGGGGTCCACGGGTGAGTTCATGGTCGCGGCCCCGGCCCCCGAGCTCCCCAGCCAGCCCTTAGGAGCGCACACGACAGCCCATTCACCTTAGGCAGGGGGTCTGAACCCCCTCACCTGCGAGGAAGGAACTCCGGACCGCGGCGGGCACCCGGCTCAAGCAAACAAGCCTTCGCAACACCCGCCCAGGGTCTCAGCCCACGCGCGACTGGCCAGAGAAGCTAGCTCAGAGGGAGGGCGGGCGAGTGCGCATGCGCAGCGCGCGCGCGCACACAAACGAGCGCCCAAGGGCGTGACTCCATGGTGACGTAAGAACGGGGCGGTAGTTAACCCTCTTGCAACTCTTCTCCCTGAGATTTAAACACACGTCGCGAGACCTCACCTAAAACTCTCACGGGATCTGCCTCGGCGGTGAGGCTTGGGCTGCTCCGACTTCCGGTGGAGGCCCGGATGCGCGCTGTGAGGGACTGAGCAAAAATAGCACGTTGAGGCCGAACGGTGGGGACCGCGTTTTAGGTGGTGTGTTTGTACCCAGATCCGGAAGCTCAGGGCGTGGCCAAGCCCAAGGCCCACGCCCTGCCCTTGGAGAATGTACGGAAGTCGAAGCCACCTTCTGGCAAACAATTTCATGCTGCTTCGTATCTACGTTTCTAATGAATAGTTTGTGGAAGAGCCCCACCAAGAAGTACTTGTCCTAAAACCGATATCCTGAGATCGGGGCAGAGCAATCACAGCTTCGCGGCCTAGCAGGGGTGGACAGTCGCCTTGCCTGCTGCCAGCACAGTTACTGCTGGTTGAGAAGCCAGTCTGACAGCGTTCACATAACCAGGTCCAGGGCAGACCTCTATCCGTCCAACCCAACCCCTTCATTAGGCAGCAGGGCTTCGGGTTGCCTGGATTAGAGTGACTGCTTTTGCACTACATTTGGCATACAAGTCTGTTTCCCAACAAACTGATCCATTGATAAGAAAAATAGACCACTATTGGGGCAGCTGGACACTACAGAGGCTGTTTCCACCCTAAGATCATTGACGTTATTTCCAAAACCATCCTTCTGCACCCCTCATTAATGCACAGATGTGCCGCACTGGACACTACTTACTTGGAACCACCATAGGTATGTCCTTCCCACTGAATTTTAAGCTCCCCCAGGGGCTGTGTACAACATCTAGGTACATCTTACTATTGCTCACAGCAATTACCACAGCTCAATAAGTTTATGATCATGACGTTATTAACGGTAATTTTTTAATGAGATGGTCAGAATTAAAATTATCTTTTAGAGTTAAAAAAGGGAAAGGAGAGTTCAGGCTACAATACTTACGTTTCTGAGACCTGATAATGGTGGCTGATGTTGATAAGGGTTTTGTTTTCCGTTGGTTAGGCTTGCTCAAACTAAGTTTACAACATAATATTAGCACATTACTTGAGTATTGGACAAAAACCTTACCAGGGTGGTTGTGGCTCAGACATTCTGGAAAGCAAGTTATTTTGGAGAGATCATGAAGAATTGACCCGTTTTCTTTTTTTAATATATTTTATTGACTTTTTACAGAGAGGAAGGGAGAGGGATAGTTAGAAACATCCATGAGAGAAACATCGATCAGCTGCCTCCTGCACACCCCCTACTGGGGATGTGCCTGCAACCAAGGTACATGCCCTTGACCGGAATCAAACCTGGGACCCTTCAGTCCGCAGACTGACGCTCTATCCACCTGTTGGGGTCCAGTCCCAGCAGGTCCAGGGGTCCCCAAAGGTGTGGATGGAGTTGGGAAGAATGAAGGACACGGAGACAGCGTTCAGTTGATCAGCATTGCAAGGTTCTTTATTCTAGACCTTGGTTAAAACACATAGCGCCAAGAAGGTGAGAAAACATATTAAGAACAGTATGCCGTATATGCCAGGTCCCTTGAAACATAAGCTGTGCAGATGTTTCTTCCTTGCATCGATTGTGTCAAGTAGCAAGGATGGACCGGCTTCTGGCGAATTCCCCCTTTTTTATTTTTTAAATGATAGCGCATGTAAATCAGCGGTCACCTCTCGGATTGGGTTGTTTAAGACTCGGAAGACCTGTTTGTGACTTTGCCAACAGGTCAGTACGAGGCTTAACCCTATATCGGTTCCCCACATCCACTGAGCCAAACCGGTTAGGGCTGAAGACCCATTTTCAACATTGTGTGTGTGTGTGTGTGTGTGTGTGTGTGTGTGTAAATATATCCTCTCAAAGGTCTGCCTAAGATCATAAAGGTTATCCTTTCCATTCTTCACAGAACAGTGTCCAGAGCCACAACATTTTAAAGAGGGAAAAAGAAATAAAGCATGATGACCATTAGCTTAGAATTCAGGGACAAACACCTGAATTTGTGTCTTTAGTAGGTCATTTCTAGTAAAACACTCCAGTGATGTTATTTAATATCTTTGAACATTGGTTTCTTTAACTCTAAAACTAGAGGTCTGGTGCATGAAAATTCATGCACTGGAGGGGGGGTCCCTCAGCCCAGCTTGCCCCCTCTCACAGTCCAGGAGCCCTCAAGGGTGGGAGGCGACCCAGTGATCAGGGGAAGGTGACGCCCCATCACACCTCTGCTGCTGCCACAGCCGGCAGCACAAGCCTCGGTCGGCCCTGGTTACCTGAGCCTTGGGCAGCCCTGGGCAGCTGGGCAGTCACCATCCGAGGCTTGCCTGCACCATGGGCCAGCCCTGGGCGGCTGAGGGCTGAAGGGACTGGGGGACTCCGGAAGCAGGCGTGTGGTATGGCCCTGGCGGGGCTGAGGGGACTGGGCACCACCATCTTGTGGCTGTGGGTGCTGCCATCTTTTGAGGGTGTAATAGTCAATTAGCATATTCCCTCCTTATTGGCTGTGGGCGCTGCCATCTTTGAGGGTGTGACAATTAGCATATTCCCTCCTTATTGGCTGTGGGCGCTGCCATCTCTGAGGGCATAGCAGTCAATTAGAATATTCCCTCCTTACTGGCTGTGGGCATTGCCATCTTTGCAATGGTGTGAGGGTCAATTAGCATATTCCCTCTTTATTAGATAGGATAGTAGCGCTGGCCAGTGCGGCACAGTTGGTTGGAGCATCCTCCCAAGCACCAAAGGGTCATGGTTTCTATTTGCGTCAGGGCACATACCCAGGTTACCATTCGATCCCCATGCGGGAGGCAACCAATCAATGTTTCTCATATCACTTTCTTTTTCCCTCTCCTTTCTCCTCTCTCTCTAAAATATCAAATTAAAAAATAAAATAATCTATTGCTTTGGGATTCTCTTAAGATTGTGAGATAATTCATGTGAAACATTTAAGATGTTGCCTGCCCATTCCAAGAACATATTCTATTACTTTACTTCTGAGAAGTGACTCTCTAAAGCAGAAATCAAGTCTGAAGAATTTAATAGGTTTTTTTTTAAATGCCAATTTTTCCCATTAACTATTCAGGAATATATATATATTTTCATGAAGATGTGGAGCAACAGGAACTCTCACAAACTGGTTATGTGTAAATTGGGAGACCACTTTGGGAAAAAAAGTGTCTAGTAAAGTGGAAACTTAAAATACTGTATGACAAGTCAACTCCGTGTTATATATGCTAAAGAATACCCATGTACACCAGAAAAGTATCTTTTTGTTCATAATAGCCAAAAACAGGAAATAACCCAAATGTCCATCAATAGGATGGGTAAATTATAGTATATTCATTCAGAGGAATATCAGCTACCTAGCATATGGATGATTCTCCAGCATAATGTTGAGAGAAAAAAGCAAAACACAAAATATGAAATATAATTACACATACAAAGTACAAACACAGCAAAATTAAAGTATATCACTTACGGATGCATACACAGAGGTAAATCTATAAAGAGAAAGCAAGGAAATGATGTTCAAGAAGTCAAATTGGTAATTATAAAAATGAGAAGGGGAGGACTTTATTGAGAATAGGACACATGGAGGAGGGGGCTTCTGAGTTACTTTTCTGTATATAATACTTCCCAAGATGAACTTAGTATATAAACATAACTTTATTAAGCTTTATTATAAAACACCAACAGAAAAAACTGTTAATATCCATGGTAACTACACATACCTAAACTTATGCACATTTTCAAAATCTAACTTGGCATTTACCGTCTTATATTATGCTCTGATCTGCTGGGGAAAAAAAGTGAGGAGACGTGAAGGCTTTAATAGTTATTTCCAGATGAAAGGCAACCTCTAAAATAGGTTTCACCAGCATTAATATGTCGAAGAAAAAAATGATTCTGATTGCAAGTAATTTATTAAATTCTGGCAAAATAAAAACTGGTTGAATCTTTTTTTTTTAAAATATATTTTACTGAACTTTCACAGAGAGGAAGGGAGAGAGATAGAGAGCCAGAAACATCGATGAGAGAGAAACATCGATCAGCTGCCTCCTGCACATCCCCTACTGGGGATGTGCCCGCAACCCAGGTACATGCCCTTGACCGGAATCGAACCTGGGACCTTTCAGTCCACAGGCCAACGCTCTATCCACTGAGCCAAACCTGTTTCGGCTGGTTGAATCTTAAGAGAAAAAAAAATACACTATACAGATCATGTATTATAGAATTGTATACCTGAAACCTGTAATTTTATTAACCAATGTCACCCCAATAATCAATTTAAAAAATTTGTTTAAAGAAAAAATGCTTAACTCCTTACCATACCTATTTTACTTTATACCAGTAAGTCCTTCTCATTCAGAGTTACAATTCCCCAGCCCTCACTGCACCTTCAGGTCAAGTTTGGCCTGGTCCCACTTGCTATTCCATCCCTATCTTCCACATTGGCAAAGACACATGAAGAAATCCTGGGTATCTTTACATCTGTCACCATATACTAGTTGGAAACCATTCTGGTCTGAGAGACAAAATGGACCTGACAGGAAACACTATTACCTCAGATTAATTTTTCTGTAAGTTTCTCATCAACAAAATCATTCCTCTATGCTTCTCAGACAAGTTAGTAAGAAAACAGCAAATTTAAACACAGGTACCAATTATAAACCTCTAAAATAACTGATGGATGCTTCTCAAATATTTGCTATTTCCTCTGCTTTAAAACAGTGCACTTACTCTCTTTGGTCAAATATAAGAGTGATATGTGTAACGATATGAAAACAGGCACTACAAAAACCCCCTGTCTAATCCTGCCTCTTGCCCAAATCAACCCAGCCTAACTAAGGCAGCTTCCCAACAGCCTACTCAGGGCTGAATCACTGCTGAAGAG